AAAAAAAAGGGAAAAAAAGGGAAAAAAAGTATGAAAAAAATATTAGTAATAATTTATTTAATTTTTTTTACATTGTTGAAAAAAAAAAATCATACAATGACCGTTAATTATATGGTATTTATATAATACTTTATAATAATTAGATTTGTTAATCAAATGAAAGGTTTTAAGTCGAACTACTTGAACATTCTGCCGAGTTAGTCATTTAGTCAGTCTGTGTCACCCAAACTTTTTGTTATTGTCTTTATTTAAAATTAAAAATACGTAATAACATGTATATTGTAAATATACAACAACAACAACAATTTGTATGAATAATTTTTTAAAACAATTGTAAAAAAATATTTTTACTTTACCAAATATAGATTTGTTGAATAGGTTGAATAATTTTTTTAGTGTGAGTTAAAAATACGTGGCTCAAAAATTCATTATATACAAGTGATGTAAAAATTTCATATTTTCGGAAAACAAGGATGAAAAAGAAATAATAATAATAATAATAATAATAATAAAAATATACGGTGTTCCCATTCAAACATTCAAAGTTTACCGATTTACTTTGGTTGTGCGGGTTTTGTAACATTGTCATTTTAACTTATTCGGACAATCCCTTATTAAGGATTTACACAATTTACACAATGAATGAATGATATACATTTAGTTTAAAACTTTTTCGGGTTATTAACATTTATAAATTTAATATTTATATGTTCAATTTTTTATTCATTACATTTCTTTCTTTTTTTTTTTTTTTTTTCTTTTTTTTTCTTACCATTTCTTACCCAATATATTATGATTATTATTATTCTTTTCCAAACCCCCCCAAATCTTTATAATTGTAACTCTAAATTTTTGAAAATCCCATGTAACAAAAAATTAAAGTTTATTTTATCCTCAAACATGTTTCAAATAATAAAATGATTCGTCAAATTTTAGTTACAATATAATAAGATTTATTTAAAGAAACTTAAAAAACTTTAAAAAAATCTTGTTATAATGATTGGTTATTTAATTTCCTATTCTTTTTGTTATATATATATAAAAATATTTTATTATAAAATATTAATAAAAATATTATAAAAATATTATAAATATTTTTTTTTTTTTTCAAAGCATTCAAACTAAATGTAACTAAATGGTATAAAAAAGTGATTGTAGTGATTGTTCCTTTTTTTTCCAAATTAGCTAAATTAGTAGTAATAATCAAATTTTCGGTTAAAAAAAATTTCATGTTAAGATTATTTTAGTAAAGTTCACTTTTATAGACTTAATTAATTATCGTCTAAATGCGTAATGCAGCAAGTCGTATGACATACTTTCATTCCGCCAATAATTCATCTAAAATTTCCCTCTTTTACAAAAAAGTCGATCCAACAAAAAAGAAGTTTTTTTTTTTACGTCAGAATCGTCAGAATCATCAAAATCGGTCATTGTGACTTTTTTTAAATGAATAATCAATGAATAATTGTACGTCAATGTGAAGCTAAAAAAAGATTTTAATAAAAAAAAAGGTCGGAAAATTATATAAAATTATGTAAATATTTGAAAATTATTATTATGATGTGTCAATATAATTAAAATATGTGTTATGGTAAAGTCCGAAGTGCTCCGAAGATTATGATCTAAAAATGGTCATTATAAAAGTATTGTGAATAATGATACCTGTTGTGAGATCTTCATGGAAAAGAAACGTGGTTAGAATGGCATGGTTTCACCGATGAAATGGTTTTTAATTAATTATTTTTATTTAATTATTTTTATTTCTTCTTCGCTTATTCCCGCATTTTTTACCACTTTTTGTTAACTTCCGCAGTGTAACCTTTTCTTTCCTTATTTAGTTTATTTAGTTTATTTGGTTTTTATTTAATTTCTCCTTTCTATCTCTCTTCTCTCATTCTCGTAATAATGTTTTTATTTTGTTTTTTTTTTTTTATTACATAATAATATAAAATGGGTCCACCCAGACCAGAACTAAACTTCTCAAAAACGTTCCCTCTCAAACGTCCCCAAACTTTCTTTTAAACATCCCCCAATAGAAAAAAAAAAAATATATCAAAAGGTATTTGCCAAGAAAAAAAAAATAAACAACTTTGTAATTTTAGCATGATAATTCTTTTTATGTATAAACAGATAAAAGAAGGAAAAAAATTATATTATTATTTTATTAACATTTCTCGGAAGAAACTTCATCATATCTCGTGTTTTATTAAATCATTAGTAAAAAAAAGGTTAGGTTTTATAATGCATGTACTGTATGTATATATATTGCGAAACCAGCATGGTTAACAGTTCAATAAATTGCGCAATAAAAAATCATCCGACAATTAATTAATTTGATGTACCCGTTTTATCATTATATTTAGGTTATTTAGGTTTATTAGGATATTTAGGATATTTAAAAGATATTTTAATAAAAGATATTATAGATATTATAGATATTATAGATATTATAGATATTATTATAGATCAAAAAAAAATTATTTTTATATATTTATTCGTTTTCTCTTTTCGAATTATTTTAGAATATTCCATTTTGATATATTTGATATTCATATATAATGTATTATTACGATATTTTTTGTTTATATTATTATTACGATAAACAATGATCACTCCCCATTAATAAATTTTTAATTGAAAAAAAATTCTGAAACATTTTAAATTTTTTGAAACTTTTTTTTTTTTTTTTTATCACCCTCAATCAAAATAAAAAACATAAATAAAAATTCAAATGTTTTAATTTTTATGCATTCGTATCTCCCTTTTGCTTTTTTTTACGCTCAAAATAAACTGCAATTAATTTAACTGAGGCGCAGTATTTATTTGTGATGGACATGACCGATATTAGACAATGTTAAAAAATTTTCTTACCAAGATTTCTAATTTGTTACTAATGGTGTCACCCATAAAAGGTGTCAATCAGGGTACTCATCACCTTTTTTTCTTTTTAAATAATAAGGTCAGAAATGATTATCCAATTCATGTAAGTGTGAGTAACCAGTAACCGTAGTGAATTCCGCGTGACCCGGTATTAAAATTCACCAAATTAGGATTTAATTCCGTAACTCCCGTTCACCCTCGTGGTGAAATATAATAAAATGATCGGCCAGATTTTTTTTGGTGATGATGATGCAATAATAATAATCATTTAAATTTAAATGATTGTCCGGAATGATTCATGGGGGGGATGGATCTTTTTTGAGTAACCAAAAAAATAACCAAAAGTAACCAAAAGTAACCAAAAATAGTTAAAAGTAACCAAAAGTAACCAAAATTAACCAAAATTAACCAAAATTGACCAAAAGTGACCAAAACACAAAAAAAAATCATAAAAATAATAGTATTAATTAAAAAAAAAAAATTCTTGATTCAAATCCAGAAAATTCCTGAAATTTGGTACGGGTAATAAGCCGGTTGTATGTTAAAATAGGTCACGAGGTATTACAAAGTTTTTAAAAGAGTATACGTATACGTAATCTTTGAGGTAGATCCATAACACGACACACTTTATTTGATTTTTTATGATTTGCATTTGTGTTAACCTAACGTAATGATTATGATATATTAAGAACAAACAAGTTTATTCGTCCCTCTTTTTTCTGAATGAATAACACTACATTTAGAGTATTTTTGTTCTTTTTTCGAAATGTTTATTCCATTAATTATTAACATCTTGTTTTAGTCGTTTAGGACGCGAAACACAATGATATCACAAAACAAAAACATTGCCACTTTCTTCAAGAGTGACTTTAAAAGTGATATGTGACATAAAAATATCATATAAATATCATAAATATATCAATAATAACAGATAAATAACAGATAAATAATAGATACCATTCATTGACGCCA